TGTACCAAAGTCCCTATATGTCGTTCGATTTGCACGAAATTTGGCATAGCGTAATTAATTAGGTCTAGAATGATATATGTGAAGTTTCCTGAAAATCGGTCTAGATTTAGATATAGCTCCTATATATATTTTCGTCTTATTTAATGTAATTGGTATACCAAAGTCCCTATATATCTATCGATTTGCATTAAATTTGGTATAGTGTACTGAATTAGGTCTAGAATGATGTGTGTTAAGTTTTGTGAAATCGGCACAGATTTAGATATAGCTCCTATATATTTTTTCCTCCGATTTTATGTAAATTGTGTACTAAAATCCCAAAGTTTGTCCGATTGCCACACAATTTGGTACAATGAACTGTAGTTCATATAAGTTAATCTCTGGCAAGTCGCATTGAAATCGGTTCAAATTTTGATATAGCATCTACACATATATTTTCGTCCGATTTTACACAAAATTAACACACATTTTGCACAACGTACTGAAGTTAGTATAACCTAGAAGTTGGATATAAATGCTTCACCAAAGTGGGTCCAATCGGCACAAGATTTAGCACTACGTACTGAAGTTACTATAACATAACATGTGGCAAGTTTAGTTAAAATCGGTTTATATTTAGATATAGCTCCTATATATAGTTTCGTACGATTTTAAGTCAATGGTTCATCAAAGACCCAAAGGTAGGCCGATTGACACTAAATTGTGCACAACATACTGAAGTTAATATAAAATAGCGTATGGAAAGTTTTGAAATCGGTTCAGATTTGATTTTAAGTACATGATTCGCCAGGAACGCAAAATGTGCAGAATGACATGTTTAAGGATCCATTTTCATGTCAATGATCCTTCAAAAATTCGATGTCTGTTAGGATTCATCTGTTGAATATACCCAAAGTTGTGAAGGGTATCATATAGTCGGCCCCGACCGACTTTACTACTTTCCTTACTGGTTACTGTTATTTTTGTTCTTGCAATATGTACAAAAATTATAAATAATATCAAATTAGAAATGCAGTATGAGGATGCCAGAATACATGTAGAAATTATTAAGTCTTTCAAAAACGACAATATATGCACTTGTTGGTCAAAGGTGACTGAAGTCAAAAATGAACTAAACGAAGATATGTTTCCTTATATATCAACCATTTTTATAGAGAATGTGGAATATATACCACATTCATAGAGAATGTGGAATATATACCAAATATGGAAAGGGTATTTTCATATCAAAATATAATTAAAACCAAAGAAAGGAACATAATACATTCTTCGACTGCTTCAAATCTTAATTAATTTTTTATGTATGTTTTTATTAATTGTTAATAACAATAAAAATTTTATTTAAAAATATATAAAAAGTACTATCGGACTGAAAAAGTACACTTTTTATTGAAAGCCAGTACAATTTGAAGAATTTCATTTCGCATCCCTGTTATAGATAGCCGTCCAAAAATGGTCATTGAAAAAAATTGATTTAGGCCTGTCCATAGGAGAATATCTTAAATCACTGGCCAAAGGCCGATTATTTTGAATTTATGTGAAAATATGTGTACGTTTTACAACCATACCAATATTACCTTCATCGGTATATAAATGACGAACTTATGAACAAAGGAATTTCGGAACTTCAGAGGTCACGTCGCTCCGTCCATGTATTTTCTTTAAAATTTACAGGTCACATTTATGATCCGAATGGGATAAAATTTATATTCCATCCGAATGCGATGAAACTTTATTTGGCACAAAGACGAGCCCAATTGATAGTGGTCAAAATCGGTTCAGATTTATATATAGATTCCATATATTTTTCTGTGTTTTTTATACATAATTTGGCAATACGCATTGAATAGATTCTAGAATGATGTATCCTGTTCTTGTTCGGTCATGTTTTTTTTTAATTTCTTAAAAAAATTGTTCCAACACTTCAGTCGTCAACTAAAACAATGACGAAGAAATCTTCGACATCGTCGTCGTCGCACTTTGTGACGGAATACCAAAAATATTTCAATAGTTATCGATAAATGTCGACAACGACATGGGGAATACCAATTTGCAAAAGTCGACTCTCTACGTCGTCGTTTTGTGTCGACGACGACATACGGAATAGGGGTGAATGATTTCAATTGGTATTATATAATGAAGATTTTTCTTTAGGTAGTTTATAGACGGTCATAGAAAAAGAGATCACCTAACATGGAATTCTATATATAGTCAGCCTTCCTGATGTCTTCAACAGATAGAAGTCCTTCCAAAGATCTGCTGATATTCATATTAAACACCCCAAGTGGGCCTTCTACTTATAGGAGACTTAAAGAGATTAATAAAGGAAATAAAATACTGGGAGAAGGTCTTCTTTACTGGTTCGATACGCTACAAATTAAATAGATTTCCTGGAATTATGGATCTGTCACCATTTCTTTTTTTTTAATAAATCCTTTGGATCTCAAAAGAAATTCAATAATAACAAAAAAAAAACAAATATATTTGGTTTGCAAAAAATTGAAATTCAAATAAGGTTTTATTTTTGTTTGTTTGTTTTTGTTTTCATGTGTGTGTGTTTGTATGGTTTTTAAAGTCTTTTTCTTAAATATCTCCAACAAAAAAACAAAAAAATTTATGGAAATACCCATATATATATAAAATTAAATTTGTTATAGCTATAAACAAAATGAAATAAAAATAATATATAATTCCAATAAGATAAAGAGGAGAAACAAATAATAATTATTATAATTGTAGGGGGGGAGTGAGTTTGTGAGTGTGCTAATTTTCATTTTTTTTTTTAAATATAATATAAACAAAATTATTTTTTATAATAATAATTAATTAATTAATAACATAAATATAAATAGCATAGGATTAAATTGATTTACAAACAAAAATATTTAAATAATAACTAATTTTTTTTATAAATAAAAAGAAAATATTAAGATATAACACAAAAGTAGTGGGTGGGGGTGGGGGGAGGAAAACAAAACAAAAATAATAATAAATTAATAGATTCCAGTTTTTTAAAGAAAAAATAGTTGGGGAAAATTTAAGCTTCAACAATTCACATTACCAAAAAAAAACAGAGAGAGCTATTTAGTTTAATTTTTGTTTGCTTTTTATTTCTTCCTTTCTTCTTGTTTATTTTCATTTGTAATTTAAATTAGAAATTAAAGATAAATTAAATAAATTATTATTTTTTACCGGTAAATGTGTGTGTGTGTAGGGTAGGGGTTTTTTGTTTTGTTTTTTTTTTTATAAGTTTTATTATAATTAAATTAAAATATATGCATTGTTTGTTTTTTTTATAATTAATTAGAATTATTTTGAATTATAAATTAAGGGGGCTTGGTTGGGGGACTTTTATACAATTGGGAAGAGGGGACTTGTTTGAAGAAGAATGTTGTTAAAGAAAAATAAAATACTTGGGGAGTCACAAACCAATTTTTGAATCATAGGGGGGGGGGAATTGAATGACCCTCCTTGTCAATCATTTGAATGATTTTTTATTTTTAACTAAGCTCTCCAAGTATTTTTGTAATTGTAACCTCATTCTTCTTCTTTTTAAGGGGGGGAAATTTTGTTTTGTTTTTTTTTTAATCTACACCTTACGCAGAGAAGAAAATTCGAAAAAAACACATATTGAAAATTTAGTAAAAAGAAAAAAAAAGAGTTTTCAATATGTTTTCTTTTCGTTCTCTCTACCTCTAATAGATATTTCTTAAAATGTAATAGTAGTTGGTTGGTTTATTTATTTTATTTTTTCTTTTTTTAGATTTTTACTTTGTATATAAGTTTTTTTGTTGTATAATAGATTTGTTTAATATTTTCTTTTTTCTTCTTCTTCTCATTCTTATACTCTTTCTTGTTTATGAGCTAATGTATTTTACGTAAATTTCTTTCAATATATTTTTTTATATAAATTTATTTAATTTCTTTTTATTATAATTTTTTTTATTAATGACCAAACGAAAATTTTAATTTCAAATAAAAGTTAATATTTTGGTTTTTAAATTGAAATTAAATTTTCGTTTGACCAAGGTAATTTATTTAGTTTGTGTGTATAATGTTTACGTTTTGTTTTTTTGTTTTTTACTAAATTTTTCTAAATTGCTTAAACTTTACAAGGTTAGTTGCTAGTTTTTAGGGATAAGGGAGAATACAATTTGTTTTTTTTATGAATGGGAAATTATACAATGTGAGGGAGAGGAGAGCAGGAGTCGGGGGGAATAATGATGTGTGGGAAATATGTTTATATTATTTTCTAGATTTTAGTGATATAATTAATAAATACTTTCTAAGATAAATTATAATTAGTTTTTTTCCTTTTTCTTCTATTTCTTCTTCTGTTTGTTGTTTTGCAATTGAGACTATCTAAGAGTTGGTTTGTTTATTTGTTTTAATAATATATTAGTTATATATAATTTTTTGCCTTATTTTTTTTCCATATTTTTTTGCTAATTCTTATATAATTAAGCTTAAATGGTTTTATTTTATTAATAATTATATTTAATATTATTATTATAATGAATTTTTTGCAAAACTTATAAATGTAATAAAGGGTGTGGTTGGGTGTAAATAAATTATATTAGGTTTTTATTTAGTTGTTGTTTTTGTTTTGTTTTTTTTTAATAATTATGCTATATAAAGTATAAAGGATTTGTTTTTGTTTGGGGGTTTTTGTTTATGCGGGGTGATTTTTTGAACTAAAATTTGTTCTAAATAAAAAATTAAATTTAAATAATTTTTCTATATGAGAGTTGGTTTTTTGTTTGTTTGTTTTTTTACTTTTAAGGGCTGGTATATTCAGTTTTATTTTCTCAGTGTAATTATTACTATTATTTTGTTGTTGCTGTTGTTGTATATGTTTTCTTGTTTTTCCAATTTCACTTCCCATTGCTTATCGTTTTCGCATTTAATGATTGATTATCCTTGAGAGCCACCCACCCAAAATATTATATATGCATTTCCTTATTTTTATAATAACAACAAAAAATATATATATTTTTTTTTTAATTTGAGGCCGTTTTCAATATTGTAAACGGCGCTGTCAGTAACGATGATGTCTTGTGGGCTATTGATGAGGACGACGATATGGCTGTGGTGGACGAGGAGGAGGTTTTTGCTGCTACCGAACTTGTTGAATGACTGTGACTGTGATTGTGATTATTGTTATTGTTGCTATTGCTGTTATTATTATTCAGATTCATTGCCACCAAACGGGCATTGGAGTTTGTTGTGGTATTATTGCTGCAGGAGGTTGAGGAGGCCGTCGAACAGGATGATGAGGTGGATGGTGAGGAGGAAACAATACCGGCAGCCGCATTTGAATTTGAGCTATTCATCATCATATGTTGTTGTTGTTGTACTCTGCTATAGGTAAGATGATGCATTTTCTCAATAGCTGCCACCCATTCAAGGCCGAAACCTTCGGGATCATCCAAATAATAGGTACGATTGGGCTGCAAAAAAAAAAAAGAAAAAATAAATTAAAAATCAATAAAAAAAGAAAACGATTTTTTTTTTTAAGTGTCCACCTAAGTCTTGTTCTACTTTGTCTTATACTATTTTATTCTTGCATAATTTTCGTTTTGATTTTTATGCGTTCGGTAGGCTCTATTCATTGTTGGGTCTACTATATCACGTGTTAAATGTGTGACAGAATTTGTTGTCTTATTGTGGTTGTTTTTTTTTTCGTTATGAACTTGTTTTGCTTTCGCAGACTTTAATACGCCACCAGCCAGACCGAATTATTATTAAATATAAATACTGACCAAACCAATATCATCATATAATAAAAAAACAACACAACAACAAAACAAAGTGATTATTTAGGACAAATTTTGGAAACAACAAATTAAAGCAAAAATACAAAATTTTAATATCAACAATAGAAAATTAAAAAATATGTATTTATTGAATTTTTTGACTTAATTAAAGTCAAAAGCAATTAAAATTGCAAAATTTCGATTTTTATAGAATTAAAAAAAAAATAATTTAATACAATTCACAAAAATTTAAGATGTTTTTTTTTAATTCATATTCTACAAAAAAATTACTTAAATAATAACAAATCAATTTTTTGTAATTAAAAAAAAATTGCAATTTAATTTTATATCATATTCTAACTATGTCTCCCATAAGTACAACAAAATCAAAAAAAAAAAAAACTTGTTCATAAACATTCCACTCAAAACGTGTGCAGTATTTTAATAAAATATTTGAATAAAAATATTCATAATTTAAAAGCTCTAGGCCGAAAATGATACAGACATATGTGTGTATATATCTGTGTGTATTTTCTATTTTTAACACACAAAAAAAATTATATTTCTTTAAGCAAACAAAAAAATCTTAGCACATGCATGCATTAATTTCTGGAGTGCACATGTCAAGATTATCTTCATATTATTTACCAAAGAAAAATTTGATAATTGAAATAGGTGTTAAACGTGCTTTATCTAAGTTAAATATTTGTAAATATGTATAGCATTCTTCATCAAGATTTTTTTCATTAAATATTTAACACACTTGAAATAATCTTGAATACACTTCTTTTTCACAAATGATTCATTATCTCATTCATAGATAGATTATATAGGATTTAAAGAATAGAAGAAAAAAAACACGCACGGAGCATGACGTCAGAGAACAAATGGAAATCAAAATCTTATTTCTTATTGATGATTATGTCAATGAGTGGGAGAGCATAATATCAACACACACACCTTTGCTGAAGAGGAACCAAGGGGCTTAGAAAATCACACAGCAGCATGTCTATGCTGGATTTCATTTGTGGAAAACAATTAGAAAGCATTTCCGCTTTTGTTTTTTTTTTATAAATGAATGAATGTGGTGGGTGGGTAATTAAAATCAAAACAAATATTTGCAAATTTTGTTTGTAATAAAAAATAAATCTTTCTTAGAAAAAAAGATTGGTAACATTTTTAATGGAAGACGTATAGAAGACCTCTGTGGATGGAGTACAAAGTTTCGAAATGATCTTTTGTCGGCAGATGGAGGTAGAAGGCCATTTAATATTTAAAGTAGTGCAAGGAAGGTTATTTTTTCAAAGAAGACCAGTAGAGAAAATATAGCTCCAATATAGGAGGCCTTACATTTATAGAAGACCAGAAGAGGAGGTATTTTATCTATAGATAAATGTACAAGACCAGTGGAGGACATCCTCAATCTATAGAATACCAGTAGAGTGTCTCCCTAACTAGAAAAATACAGTAGAGAAGTGGCCAGTGGCCTCTATACATTCCAATTGATCTTTATAAAGAGACCAGGGGTTTCTACACAAACCAATAGACCTTCATAGAGGCCTATGATCTCTATACAGTACAATTGGTCTGGATAAAATCTATGGTCTTCATACACACTGATAGGCTGGCATAAAGGCCTAGGGCCTCTATACAGAGCAACAGGTCTTCATAAATCAATAGATTTTATTATTTTTATTTATTTATTTTTTTCATTTTTTATTTATTTATTATTATTTTTTATTATTTTTTTATTTTTTATTATTATTTTTTTATTTTTTTATTATTTTTATTATTTTTTATTATTTTTTTATTATTATTTTTTTATTTTATTATTATTTTTTAATTTTTTTTTTATTATTTTTTATTATTTTTTTATTTTTTATTATTTTTTATTTTTTTATTTTTTTTTATTATTTTTTTTATTTTTTTATTATTTTTTATTATTTTTATTATTTTTTATTATTTTTTTATTTTTTTATTTTTTTATATTTTTTTATTTTTTATTATTATTTTTTTATATTTTTTTATTTTTTATTATTATTTTTTATTTTTTTATTATTTTTTATTTTTTATTATTTTTTAATTATTTTTTATTATTTTTTTATTTTTTATTATTTTTTTTATTTTTTATTATTTTTTTATTTTTTTTATTTTTTATTATTTATTATTTTTATTATTTATTATTTTTTTATTTTTTATTATTTTTTTTTTTTTTATTATTTTTTTATTTTTTATTATTTTTTTATTATTTTTTTATTTTTTATTATATTTTATTATTTTTTATTATATTTTATTATTTTTTTATTTTTTATTATATTTTATTATTTTTTTATTTTTTATTATATTTTATTATTTTTTATTATTTTTTATTATATTTTATTATTTTTTTATTTTTTATTATATTTTATTATTTTTTTATTTTTAATTATATTTTATTATTTTTTATTATTTTTTTATTTTTTATTTTTTATTATATTTTTTTATTTTTTATTATTTTTTATTATTTTTTTTTTTTTTATTATTTTTTTATTTTTTATTATTTTTTTATTATTTTTTTATTTTTTATTATTTTTTTATTTTTTATTATTTTTTTATTTTTTTATTATTTTATTTTTATTTTTTTATTTTTTTATTTTTTTATTATTTTATTATTTTTTTATTTTTTATTATTTTTTATTATTTTTTTTATTTTTTTATTTTTTATTATATTTTTATTTCATTTTTTATAATTTTTTAATTTTTTTTATAGTTTTTTTATTTATTTTAATTTTTTTTTTGTTCTTATTCGTTTCTTTTCTAAACTATGACTGATCCTGATTAGACCCAACCAAAAAACTGTCAGTTTCATGTCATCTTAGGGTGTGTGTGTGTTTTTTTTAACAAAACCCACTTACCGTATGCACAAAGAAAATTTTGAAATTTTTGGCTTCGGCACGCAATTCCGGACTCCATGGAATTTCACCTTTTTTCACCATTTGCACAGGATCGATATAGATGAGATGGGGTCCGGTGGTTAACAACAGCATGCGGCGTCTGGCAAACAGACCTTTGCGTTTGTTGACAAAACCCTTCTTCAAAATGACTTCGCCCTCGGCAAAGACATGCCATTTATCGGATTTTTGGGCCTCCAAACGTCGGTGTTTTTCCACATCAGATAAATCAAAGCTGTCTGTGGAGAGGGAAAAATAAAAATCCAATTAGAGTGGAAGTTCTTAATCGCTCTTTTCAAACTTACTTTTTGCCGATTTCTGATAATTATTAGATGTGAGAGTGGTTGTGGAGGCGGCTTTTGTATTTATGGGAACTGTTGTTGTGGCCGATGATGATTTTGATTTACTGCCAGCACTACCCGAACTCATTTTCCGCTCATAACAATCATCATCACTGCTAATACAACCCAATTCCTTGCCCAACAGCCGGGTCAATTGTTTATCATCGAGTCCAGGTTCCAAATTATCGCACAGCATAAACTCGTTCTCATCTTCGCGTACCAAATCGGGTAAATATGGTGATATGGCTGGTGGTGTTGTCTGGCGTACCGAATCAAAATCAACATTCTTAAAGAAGGGATGTGAACGAATGCTGTCATATTGACCGCCGAACTCTTGGGCACCCAAACGTTCGGCTGGATTTAATTTTAAGAGTTTTTTGACTAGATCTTCGGCATCTTTGTCGAAACCTTGGGGGAAATCTAAATTACAGGCAATAATCTCCTTGAAGATGACATAGTCATTGGAGCCACGGAATGGTGGCAAGCCCGACATCATTTGATAGATAATACAGCCCAAGGCCCACAAATCGGCGGCTGGGGTAATGGGGGCATTCTGCAACACTTCGGGCGAGACATATTGGGCGGTGCCCACAAAACTGCCGCGGCGTTTTCTGTGATAACGGGGTGCTGGCGCCTGATGGCGTCTGGCACGCGGTGAATCGGTTTCACCCCCTGTCTCAGCATCACCACAACTACCCGATGAACCGGTCGATTCATAATCCTCATCATCATCATTGTAATCATCATCATCGCTACGCATACTACCACCCGATTGACATCTGGCCTTTTTGGCCAAATCAATACCACCCGATAGTAAAAATGCTTGGGCCTGGGCCTTTTCTTCGGCCGTTAGGATTTTCACCGATCCGAAATCGGCAATCAGCGTGTGCATATCCTCGTCCAAGAGAATATTCTCCGGTTTCAAGTCACGATGCACGATATTGCGTCGATGCATTTGTTCGCAGGCTAATACTAGTTCGGCAGCATAGTGGCGTGTTGAATCGATATCGAAGGAACCAACTTTATTGATATATGGCAGCAGATCGCCATTTTTGGCATAGGTCATGACAAAGTAAAGTGAACGGGCATCTTGGAAGGTGCAGGATAAATTCACAAAACCAGGAACATTTGTCAGGGTGTGCATAACTTCGCGTTCGCGTCGTATGTACTCTTGTTTGTGTTCGCGTAAAATTAGGCGTTTTTCGCAGACTTTTACTGGAATGAGAGAGAGAGAGAGGGAGAGAGAGAAAAATTGGTTAGTTGAGGTGCAAAATAAATTAAGGGTGGTGTTTAATATATTTTAAATTAAAAAAAAAAAACAAAAATGGGAATAAAGGGAGAGAAACAAATTTGATTTTTTTTTTAAATTAAAAATTTTTTAATTATTTAAAAAAATTAAATTTTAATTACAAATATAAGATTCCCTATGAAGTAAAATTTCATATTAATATATATAAGGAAATTCCGGATATAACGAAATTTCGAATATAAGAATTAAGAAAATTTAAATTGTCTAAGATTGAAAAAAATTTTAAAATTGCATATCTCTTATGAATGACACCGCAGCCTCATTTAGCGGGATTTTGAGTTAAATTTTTGACCGCCCAAGAGATTTTGTTATTGTCACACACACGCAAATTGTGGTGAATAAACTTTAAAAATATCGAGATTAAAAAACCTTGAACTTAAGCAAAAAAAATAAAAATAAAAACAAATATGTATTCCCGAATCAAAACAATAACAGTAAATGTGCGAACTTGGGCAAAAAATAAAGATTAAAAAACAAAATACAATGCAAATAAAAAGAACAACAATCATTTTAGTAAAAATGCTATGCAAATTGTGGGGGTTTGGTGGGGGGTGGTGACAGGAAAAGGAAGAAGACCTCGTGTTTACTTTCCTCCTACCCTTGAAGAGAGAGGATGGAAAAACATATATAATTGAAACGATAAGCGGAGACCGACCATAAATTAATTAATACTCAATAACAAGACAAATAAAATCGAAAATGTACACACGTAAATATATGGTCAGAGACAAGATAAGAACATAATTTAACAACAAATCATGTTTATATATATATATATTTTTTTATTTTTATTTATTTTATTTTTTTTTATTTTTTTTTTTTTTATTTTTTAATTTTTTTTATTTTTTATATTTTTTATTTTTATTTTTATATTATTTTTATTTTTATTTTTTATATTTTTTTATTTTTATTTTTATTATTTTTATTTTTATTTTTTATATTTTTTTATTTTTATTTTTTATATTTTTTTATTTTTATTTTTTATATATTTTTTATTTTTATTTTTTATATACTTTTTTATTTTAATTTTTATATTTTTTTATTTTTATTTTTTATATTTTTTTATTTTTATTTTTTATATTTTTTTATTTTTATTTTTTATATTTTTTTATTTTTATATTTTTTTATTTTTATATTTTTTTATTTTTATTTTTTATATTTTTTTATTTTTTATATTTTTTTATTTTTATTTTTTATATTTTTATTTTTTATATTTTTATTTTTTATATTTTTTTATTTTTATTTTTTATATTTTTTTATTTTTATTTTTTATATATTTTTTTTTATTTTTATTTTTTATATTTTTATATTTTTATTTTTTTTATTTTTTTATTTTTATTTTTTATATTTTTTTTATTTTTATTTTTTATATTTTTATTTTTTATATATTTTTTTTATTTTTTTTTTTATTTTTTATATTTTTTTTTATATTTTTTTATTTTTTATATTTTTTTTATTTTTTATATTTTTTTTATTTTTTATATTTTTTTTTATTTTTTATATTTTTTTTTTATTTTTATTTTTTATTTATTTATTTTTTTTTTTTTTTATAAAAAAAATATATAAATAAAAAAATCGGCAAAATTTGCAAATTGTGACAAAAAATAATTCTGAGCCAAAACATTGTTGTTCTGTCGTGTAATTTGAGAATACAATATTTGTTTATTCACCCGATTCAATATTTTTTAGTCATTGATTTTTGTTTTAAATGACTAGTGTGAATCAGAACACCACCATAACTTATTATTTGGGGAGGGTAAATAACCTGAGACATTTTTGTTTATTAGTGAGTTTATTCACCTATCATTACAATGTAAAGGGGAGAAACCCACTTATTATAAAAAAATTTAAAATATAAATTTTTTAATTTATTTTTTTTTTTATAAAAAAAAAACTTTATACTTCTTTGGACAAATTTTTAATTTTTAATGGAAATCGTATTTCGCAAAGTGAAACAAAAAAATTTGATCAAAAAAAATAGGAGAAGATATGAAATATACAAATTTTAAGATATACAATTTTTGATCCAATTTTTTTTTAATTATAATAAAAAAATATATAAATTTTCTCTCAATTTTTGATGCCAAAAAAAATTTACATAAAATTCTTTGCTTTTTTCCGGGTGATAAAATTTGTCACTTTGATTTCCATATCAAACCAAACAATAACAAGAAGGTAAACAAAATTTTATTTATTATTATGGCAATAAAAACTATCAGACAACAACAACAGCATCCAAAAAATAGCCATTTTTAAAAACGTGTGTTATTGACATTTTCGTTGAAAAGTGATGAAGAAAAAAAAAACACACAAAAAACAATTGAAAATAAATTTTTATGTTTTGTTTATCCACACAATCTCGCAACATAAGTGGAGCGCAAAGTAAGCAAAATTCAGACTATATGAAGAAAAAAAAACACATAAAACTAATACGCAAGAAAAAACGTCTACACGTGTCGAAAATTTGTGGTTTTTTGTTTTGTTATTGAAAATGCAAAATAAAAAAAAAATATTGACTAGAAATGACCTTGGTATACCAAAGAAAGAGGTTAAAAAGAAAAGCCAATGGGAAAAAATGGCAAAGTAATTTTAAACCCCTTTGCAATTTGAGTTATTTTTGCCAAATTATTATTATTATACCCTACACAGCTATGTTGTCAGGGTATTATAGCTTTGTGCAGCCCCAAGAGTATGTAACGCCGCGAAATATTGGTTGTAGACACACCTTTAAGTATACCGACCGTCATAGTTCATCGGATTTAATGTAAACGGTGCACCAAAGTCCCTTAATATCTTTCGATATGCACCAAATTTGGCACAGCGTAATGAATTAGGTATAAAATGATGTGTGTTAAGTTTCTTGAAAGTCGGTTCAGATTTAAATATAGCTTCTATATCTGACCAAATGAAAAAATTGGTATCGGCTGCAGAATGACATGGTTATGGATCCAATTTCATTTTACTGCTCCTTTAAAAATGCGACGTCTATTAGGATTCATCTATTGAATATACCCAATGTGGTGAAATGTACCATATAGTCGGCCCCATCCGACTTTACTACTTTCCTTAATGGTTGTTTCTTTTTTTATTATTTTTATTTATTTTTTTTATTATTTTTATTTATTTTTTTATTATTTTTATTAATTTTTATTTATTTTTATTTATTTTTATTTATTTTTATTTATTTGTTATTATTTTTATTTATTTTTATGTTTTTTTATTATTTTTATTTATTTTTATTATGTTTAATTATTTTTTTATTATTTTTATTTATTTCTTATTATTTTTATTTATTTCTTATTATTTTTATTTATTTCTTATTATTTTTATTTATTTTTATTCATTTTTTTATTTATTTTTTTATTTATTTTTTTATTTATTTTTTATTATTTTTATTTTTTTGTTTTTTATAAGTTTTAAACATTTTTAGTTATTTTATGTATTATTATTTATTTTTTTTTTTTTTTTTTTTTTTTTTTTGCAAAATAGTCAGGCTGAATCCCCATTTTTTGTTTTATATAAAAAAAAAATTTTTTTTTGTTATTATTTTTATTTATTTTTTATTATTTTTATTTATTTTTTATTATTTTTATTTATTTTTATTATTTTGTATTATTTTTTAATATTTTTTATTTATTATTATTATTTATTTTATTATTATTATTTATTTTTTATTATTATTTATTTTTTATTATTATTTATTTTTTATTATTATTTATTTTTTATTATTATTTATTTTTTATTATTATTTATTTTTTATTATTATTTATTTTTTATTATTATTTATTTTTTATCATTTTTTATTTATTTTTTATCATTTTTTTATTTATTATTATTATTTATTTTTATTTATTATTTTTATTTATTATTTTTATTTATTATTTTTATTTATTATTTTTATTTATTATTTTTATTTATTATTTTTATTTATTATTTTTATTTATTATTTTTATTTATTATTTTTATTTATTATTTTTATTTATTATTTTTATTTATTATTTTTATTTATTATTTTTATTATTTATTTTTAAAATAATAAAATTATTATTTATTTTTATTTTTTTTATTATTTTTATTTATTTTTTAATATTTTTATTTATTTTTTATTATTTTTATTTATTTTTTATTATTTTTTGTTATTTTTAAAATAATAAAATTATTTATTTTTTATTATTTTTAAAATAATAAAATTATTTATTTTTTATTATTTTTAAAATAATAAAATTGTTATTAATTTTTTATTATTTTTATTTATTTTTTATTATTTTTTTATCATTTTTATTTATTTTTATTTATTTTTTATATATTTTTTTTTTATTATTTTTAAATATTTGTAGTTATTTTATTATTATTTATTATTTTTTTATTATTTTTATTTATTATTTTTATTATTTTTAAATATTTTTAGTAATTTTATTTATTATTGTTATTTTTTATTTTAGTTTTTATTTTTATTTATTTTTAAATATTTTTATTAATTTTTATACTATTTTTATTCATTTTTATGGTATTTATATTTATTTATTATTATTATTTTTGATTATTTTTATTCATTTTTTATTATTTATATTTATTTATTATTATTTTTATTCATTTTTATTTATTATTATTATTTTTGATTATTTTTATTATATTTTTTTTTATTTTTTTAATATTTTTTTTTTTTTTATTTTTTTAATATTTTTTTTTTATTTTTTTAATATTTTTTTATTTTTTTAATATCTTTTTATTTATTAACATTTTTTTATTTTTTTTAATATCTTTTTATTTTTTAATATTTTTTTATTATTTTTTTTTAATATCTTTTTATTTTTTAATATTTTTTTTATTTTTTAATATTTTTTTAAATATTTTTTTCATTTGTATTTTTTCTCATTTGAATTTCTTTATAATTTAATTTTTTATG